TGCAGTATTAACTAGTGTCAAGGAGTGGGTAGCGGGGCAGCAGGTGGCATGGTGGTTAAGGCACTGGATTCCTACATGGTCAACTGCGGTTCAAGTCCCAGACACAGTAGCTTGAAACTCAGTCTAGGTGCATGTGCATGCATGCTCAAAATCCCAAGAGAAGAATGGAGGAGAAGAGATTGCAGCATGGCCATCTCCCCTCTTCCCCCTGGGTGTGATTTCTCACTTTCTTTCTCTCTGTCTCTTTGGTGAGCACATGCACCCTATAGTAAAAACCTAAATAAATAAATAAATAAATAAAAAGAGTGATGGAAAAGTTATGCAAAAACTTCATGCACTTATCTAAAATAACCTTTATCCCCTCATTGTTCAGAGATGATATCAGACCAGGATTGCCAATGCTGAGGCAAATCCGAGAAGCCCGTCGAAAAGAAGAAAAACAACAGGAAGCTAATTTGAAAAATAGGCAGAAGAGTTTAAAAGAAGAAGAACAAGAGAGACGTGACATTGGATTGAAGAATGCACTCGGCTGTGAAAACAAAGGGTTTGCTTTGCTCCAAAAGATGGGATATAAAAGTGGTCAGGCTCTCGGCAAGAGCGGTAAGTCGTATTCGGAAATATACCATGTTCCTAATTACCCAATTGCAATTTATTGGTGAGGATCAGTGGTGGCTCTTCAATCTTTATCCATCTACACAGAAATTAAAACGACTTAAAATCAAGCCTTATAAAGAACTCGCGTCTTCCTACATCTAATTTAGGTATCATAGGTGCCGTCAAGTGCCTCTTACCAGCCCAGTTCAGCCTTGAGGGCACTAACAACCGGGGTGGACGTGGCTCACAGTGGAGCAATGAATTGTGACACATGATAGGTTGAGAAGTGAGTTGGCCCAAGGACAGTGAAACTACATTGAGGAGGATGGCAGGACTCTGCCCAGCTTGCTCTAAACCTGTGGCAGCTGTCTAAGTGACGGTCCAGTTAGAGAAGCTCAACTCTCACCTTTACAAGAAGTGAAACTACTTCTTACCATGGAGAGGCTGGGTATTTATAGGAGCTTCTATGAACAGTTTTTTCTCTTTTTCTTTTTGTAATTGCTTTGCTTTCTTTTTTCTTCATTTTAGCACTTTTATAAAATAATTATTTATTTTAATTTTATTTATTCATTCATTTATTTTATTTTGACCAGAGAGACACATGGGGGGAGGGGTAGTGAGAAATCAAGCCACCAGGTCTAGGACTTGAACTGTGGTCAGCCATGTGGGAATGTCCAGCGCCTTAACCATCATACTACCTGCTGGTTCTCATTTTAGCACTTTTTTTTTTTAGAGGTTTTTTTCTATAGGGTGCGTGCACTTGCCAGAAAGACAGAGACAGAGACATAGAGGCAAAAAGCAAAAAATCACCTCTCATCCCCCTGCTAGGGGGTGGCCATGCCACAATCCCTTCTCTTCCATTCTCCTCTTGGGATCTTGGGCATGCACACACATGCACCTGGCGTAAGTTTAAGTCACAGGGTCCGGGACTCAAACTGCAGTCGACTACATGGGAGTCCAGCTACATTGCCATTATGCCAACTGCTGGTCCCAGTATGCAAGCCACCAGGTTTGGGACTCAAACCATGGTTGGCCATGTGGGAGTGTCCAGCACCTTAACCACCATGCTACCTGCTGGCCCCCATTTTAGCACTTTTTTAATAACAGCTGTGTATAAGATTATTTCACTCCTGCAGCTTCTCAATTGTTTCTTTCTTATATTGTCCATTTCTTTTCCTACTTGGCTAGATTTGGCTTTCTCTTCAAGGATTTTTTTTTTTTTTTTTTTTGCAGTCTTTGTCCAGTTTTAGCCTTGTGATATCCACCTTGCTGGGGCAAATGCCCACACGGACCATTGTGCCATTAGCCTTCTCTTGCTGCAGCTGTTCATTGTAATGACATAGTTCTTCCTGTAAACTTGGACTGCTTTGCCAATCTGCTGACCTTTATAGTGTCCGCACACAACCTGAACTTCATCATCCTTTCGGCTGGACGTGGATTGAACATTGTACTTCTGCCTCCGCTTTTTGTAAAGCGGAGAAGATATAATCTTCCTGCAGATGTAGGAGAGTCCGCTGAAATGCCTTTTACAGTTCTTGCTTCAGACAGAAGTCACAAAAAAGATTGAACTTCATGTTGGCTGTTGCCGCTCCGGTGATGGCTGTTGCTTTGCTTTCCTTTTTTTTTTTGGAGAGTTTTTTGTTTGTTTGTTTGTTTGTTTGTTTGTTTGTTTTTTGCTATAGGGCACATGTGCTCACTAGAAAGACAGAAAGACAGAGAGAGAAAGAAAGAAATCATCCCCCCGGGGGATGGCCATGCTGCAATCCCTTCTCCTCCATTTTCTTCTTGGGATCTTGGGCATGCATGCACATGTGCCCAGGGTGAGTTTAAGCCACCGGGTCTGGGATTTGAACCGGGGTCGACTACATGGGAGTCCGGCAACATAGCCATTACGCCAATTGCTAGTCCCTGCTATGCTTTCTTTTAAGGCGTAAGAGAAGGCTTTACTTTCTCTTAAGAGTGTCACTCTCTTGGAATTAAAATATCAGTATTGCAACTTCTAGAAGCCCATTTTCAGGTAGCATAGGAGCCTTATTGTCAACTAGATATTTAATGGCAAGGGAAGTGTTCGATTATATACAGGGTATTGATGTATATAGAGAGTATTGATGTAAGATTTAAGTTGTGAATGTCTTTGAAACTAAAAGGGATATGTATAGAGCATTGTAAAGTTGTGTACTGTACAGAGTTTGAGAAATAATTTCTAAAGTAGTTTGTGTCTTGTTCTCTTTTTTAGGAGATGGTATTGTTGAACCGATTCCTCTAAATGTCAAAACAGGTATGTAATTATTTCTGAGCATATTTACCAGTAATAATAACTTATGCTTACCTCTACACATATATTTGCTTAATAAATACTTTTTTACAATGAGACATGAGGCTATTACAATTCTTTTTTTTTTGGAGAGGTTTTTGCTATAGGGTGCGTATGCTCGCCAGAGAGACAGAGAGATAGAAAGTGAGAAATCAACCCCCAGGAGGGGTGGCCATGTCGCAATCCCTTCTCCTTCATTCTCCTCTCAGGATCTTGGGCACTCACGCACATGCTCCCGGCATGAGTTTAAGCCACCGGGTCTGGGACTCGAACTGCAGTTGACTACATGGGAGTTCAGTGACATAGCCATTATGCCAACTGCTGGTCCCAAGATTATTATAATTCTTATCATAAGAAATTCTCAATAAAATGATTGTTGAACTTCTAAACATTTTAAAGTAGGAATGAAGGTCACTTGTACTGGGGCCAGGTGGCTTGAAACTCATGCCAGGCTCGTGTGTGTGCATGTGTCCAAGATCCCAGGAGGAGAATGGAGGAAAAGGGATTGCAGCATGGCCATCCCCTCTTCTCACTTTCCCTCTCACTGTCTGTCTTGTTCTCTCTGGGAAGCACATACACCTTAAGGTCAAAACCTCCTTTAAAAAAGAAAAGATTACTGAGTATAAAGTAAAATGTTAGTCTTAAAAATATAGGGGAAAAATTTATCGTAACAACTGAAAACACAGTGCTGTTTCATCTACTGAAATGGCACAAAAATATTCTGAGACAGGTTTATCCATTACATGTTTTGCTTAGTACTCTGGATGAATGAAAAAGAGAAAATACCTTATTCATCATATTTACATAAAAGTATGACAATTGATACTGTTTTTCTGATTTTAAAAAATTGTATACTTTTACTATCTAAGAGGAGACAAATGATCTTTGTAAAAATCAGAAACTCAGTGTTTTCAGGCCAGCCTTGTGGCCTAGGGGTTAAGTGAGTTGGATCCTACACGGCCAACTATGCAGATTGAATCCTGGCCCTCATGACTTGAGAGACACCAGGCACGTGCAGATGCATGCCCAAAGTCCTCATGGGATAAAATGGAGGATTGTGGCGTGACCACGCCCCAGTAAAGGGTGATTTCTTCTCTGTCTCTGTACTTGATTTTTAATATTTCAATTGTCATGTTTTAAAATACAAAGTCAGTACATTTCACATCAGAGTTTTTTGTTTGAACAGGGAAAAGTGGTATTGGTCATGAGACATTATTAAAACGGAAAGCAGAGGAAAGATTAGAAAGCTACAGAAGAAAGATTCACATGAAAAACCAAGCTGAAGAGAAAGCTGCAGAGCAGTTTCGGTAAAACTATATTTGAGCTGTTTTGGTTTTCATCTCCTTTTTATTATGATACATTTCCTGATACTTGGGCATGTAAAATGGTTAAAGAGAACATAGACCTTCCGTGTGCAATTTTTTCTTTTAATTAGAATGCGACTTAAAAATAAGCAAGATGAAATGAAGCTAGAAGGAGATCTTAGAAGAAGCCAGCGAGCCTGTCAACAGTTAGATGCCCAGAAGGTAAAGCCTTTTGCCTACTCTCGGTTTGGTAAAGTATTTTGGAACCCAGTATGATTTGCCATTTATTTTATTCTATTTTATTTTATTTTAATTCTAAGCGTGGTTTGTCTTGCCTTCTACCCATTAAATCTTTCATTTACTGTGCTCCATTAACCTTTTTTTTGAGAGAGAGGTTTTTGCTATAGGGCACGTGCGCTCGCCAGACAGACAGAGACAGAGAGACAGAAAGTGAGAAATCACCCCCCAGGGGGGATGGTCACACCGCAATCCCTTCTCCTCCGTTCTCCTCTCAGGATCTTGGGCACGCACGCACACACGCCTGGCATGAGTTTTAAGCCACCGGGTCCAGGACGCGAATCACGGTCGACTACATGGGAGTCCAGCAACATAGCCATTACACTAACTACAGGTCCCATGTGCTCCATTAACCTTTTATAATTGCTACAATAACGGCTTGCTTACTACAAGAACCTGAGTTGTCTGAATTGTCCAGTAAGGTTCCAAAATAGTCTAAGTCATAAAATAGAATTAAAAAATAACCATTAACCGGTCTCCAGGGGCCGGGACCTGAGAACTGCCAGATACCATTACCATATGAAATTAAGCATGGCAGAAGAAGAGGATTATATGTCTGATTCCTTCATTAATGTCCAAGATGATATCAGACCAGAATTGCCAATGCTGAGGCAAATCCGAGAAGCCCGTCGAAAAGAAGAAAAACAACAGGAAGCTAATTTGAAAAATAGGCAGAAGAGTTTAAAAGAGAAAGAACAAGAGAGACGTGACATTGGATTGAAGAATGCACTCGGCTGTGAAAACAAAGCGTTTGCTTTGCTCCAAAAGATGGGATATAAAAGCAGTCAGGCTCTCGGCAAGAGTGGAGATGGTATTGTTGAACCGATTCCTCTAAATGTCAAAACAGGGAAAAGTGGTATTGGTCATGAGACATTATTAAAACGGAAAGCAGAGGAAAGATTAGAAAGCTACAGAAGAAAGATTCACATGAAAAACCAAGCTGAAGAGAAAGCTGCAGAGCAGTTTCGGTAAAACTATATTTGAGCTGTTTTGGTTTTCATCTCCTTTTTATTATGATACATTTCCTGATACTTGGGCATGTAAAATGGTTAAAGAGAACATAGACCTTCCGTGTGCAATTTTTTTCTTTTAATTAGAATGCGACTTAAAAATAAGCAAGATGAAATGAAGCTAGAAGGAGATCTTAGAAGAAGCCAGCGAGCCTGTCAACAGTTAGATGCCCAGAAGGTAAAGCCTTTTGCCTACTCTCGGTTTGGTAAAGTATTTTGGAACCCAGTATGATTTGCCATTTATTTTATTCTATTTTATTTTATTTTAATTCTAAGCGTGGTTTGTCTTGCCTTCTACCCATTAAATCTTTCATTTACTGTGCTCCATTAACCTTTTTTTTGAGAGAGAGGTTTTTGCTATAGGGCACGTGCGCTCGCCAGACAGACAGAGACAGAGAGACAGAAAGTGAGAAATCACCCCCCAGGGGGGATGGTCACACCGCAATCCCTTCTCCTCCGTTCTCCTCTCAGGATCTTGGGCACGCACGCACACACGCCTGGCATGAGTTTTAAGCCACCGGGTCCAGGACGCGAACCACGGTCGACTACATGGGAGTCCAGCAACATAGCCATTACACTAACTACAGGTCCCATGTGCTCCATTAACCTTTTATAATTGCTACAATAACGGCTTGCTTACTACAAGAACCTGAGTTGTCTGAATTGTCCAGTAAGGTTAAATAATTTTTTTTTTCTTTTTTTGGAGAGGTTTATTGCTGTAGGGCACGTGTGCTCGCCAGACAGACAGAGACAGACAGAGAGACAGAAAGCGAGAAATTATCCCCCAGGGGGAATGGCCATGCCACAATCCCTTCTCCTCCATTCTCCTCTTGGGATCTTGGGCACGCACGCACACGCACCTGGTGTGAGTTTTAAGCCACTGGGTCCGGGACGTGAACCGCGGTCGACCACATGGGAGTCCAGTGACGTAGCCATTACGCTAACTGCTGGTCCCCCAATAGTACTTTAGTTTGAATGTATTTCTTGGCCCTTAGATTCCCTAGCTTGTATGTATTATTTTATACCCATAACTTTTATCCTACTAGACTGTCAGCAGCAATGTGGAGACAGTAGTCTGATTAGACTTTGCATCCTCCTAGTGCAGTGCTTTACTCTTAGCCTACATAAAGTAGCACTTAAGAAATACTTATTGAAAGAATGAACTCGTGTTGACATGAATGTACTTGTGATACGGTCTCACGCTTAACTATGTTTCATTGAGAAGAATTCTGCATTTCTAGAATATTCAGGTTCCCAAAGAGGCATGGTACTGGTTGAAACTTGAAGAGGAGACTGAAGAAGAGGAAGAGGAAGAAAAAGAACAGGACGAAGATGACTGTAACAGTGAAGATTTAAGTGTATGTTTTGATACCATTTCCTCGATACCAGGGTGTCTCAGCCTTGTCACTGTGATTCTTCGTTGGGGTATTGCCCTATACATTGTAAGATACGTAGCAACATCTCTGGCCTCTGCCCACCTGATGCCAGTTGCACCTCCCTCATGACAACCAAAAATGTCTCCAGATATTGTTAAATATCCCTGATGAGAAGAATATGCTCGTTAAAAACTGCTGCATTCATGATTATTTTATTAACCCCAAATCGAAACTTTTTGTATAATTTTTTCTCTTTAGCTTCAGTTTCACCTCAGCTTCATTTTGGATGATGGATTAGTTACAAACGTGAATTATTTTAATTTGTCCCTTATTTCCTTCTGGAAATTATTCTAACACGTACGTCCTTTCCCCCACTTATAAACAAAACAAAACAAAGAAACATGAAAGGAAGTAGAACTCATCCAAAAGAAGAAAGGTACACTCCTATGGTTACTTCTATATTAGAATTTTGTAGAAAACATTCAGATTTTGAAATCCACTTAAGAGGGAGATCACTGATGAGAACTTTTAGGCCAAAAGAAAGGTAGTATCTCCCTTTACAACATGTGAGGGAAGTAGATGCTTTGCGAGTGGAAGGTAGAAAGGGCTCTTTGAAGGATACTTATCGTAGATGCGCCCAAAAAGTGCTTTTGATATTATTTACATATGTGTGTGTGTGTGTGTGTGTGTGTGTGTGTGTGCGCGCACGTGTGTATATAACATTGGCAAGATAAAGAAAGCATTCCTCAATGGGGTGTGATCATGGCAAAGTCCTTTTTCTCACTTCTTTATCCCATCAGGGTTTGGGGCACACATACATACATGCCCAGCATGTCTAATCTGCCAGGAGCTGGGATTCAAACCACGGTCAGTCATGTGAGATCTGACTATGACGAAGGGCTTAACTGCTGCCCTATGTTAACAAGTGGTCTCCATTGTGTCCGGCAGACTAGCGGAAGTTTAAGGGTGGCTAGTAAACTGGACATGTTCAAATATGTTACTTCTGTCCCTGATACGTCTAGTGACTGCATGAACATAGAGCAGATGTGTAGCCATCAACTCCCTCAGAATGATCAGAACCAGAAAACCAAGGTTCTGTTCCATGTGAACTGTAAATTTGTTTGTTTCTATATCCAGGTACTGGAAAAATTACAGATATTGACTAGTTATTTAAGAGAAGAACATCTGTATTGTATTTGGTGTGGAACAGCATATGAAGGTAAGAAAACTATTGATGTTGTCAAAAAATAGTTAATATGATCACTTTGATTTTTAGTAAAAGTCAGATTTCTCACAGACAATGGAGATTTCTCATTCCATTCAAAAGGCAATGTATTGTAAGACCAATGTCTTAAAGAAATAGTGGATATAAAATAACAGCCTTTAAAAAAATTGCTTTTAGTTTTTCAGAAATTGAATGTGCGGAAGGGGATTTTTCAGTGTTTCATTAAAAAAAATTTTAAATTAACTTGAGGATAATGAATTATTTTTATGCAGTACTTTTTTTAAGAATTACTTATTTAATTCAATGAGTTGTTATTATTTTTTAATTTGACCAGGGAGAGACAGAGAGGAAAAAAAAAGGGAAAGTGAGAAAGCAAGCTGCCAGGTCCGGGACTCAAACCACAGTCAACCATATGGGAATCCAATGCCTTTAACCACCACACCACCTGTCAGCTCCTATGCTGTGCTTTTTTTTTTTTTAAGAATTATTTTTATTTAATTTTATTTATCATTATTTTTAATTTGCTTCAGGGCACATGCTCTCACGACAGAGAAAGCAAGAGACAGAGAGTGAGAAACCAACCCATCAGGTCTGGGACTTGAACCATGGCTGGCCATGTGGGAGTCCAGTGCCTTAGCCCCCATGCTACATGCTGACTCCTCCATGCTATACTTTTAAAGATTCTTTTTTAGCTACAGATATTTGAAAGATGTATTAAATTTTTGAAACAAATTTTTATATTGTTAGAAAGAATATTATCCTGGAACCATAAATCCACTCCATGGTTTTTTTTTGTAAGGGAAGAAATGATTTAAAACTTGCCAAACATCTTATAGGACCAAGTGCTTCCCCTTTAGTACATTTTCCCAGGCTGTCTTTCCTAACTTGTATTTAAGGACTCTGTACGTGGGATAGAAGAATTTTTGGTTATTGTTATTGTTATCTTTTCCTGGTTTGTTTAATAGGAACATCAGAAATATATGTTATATTGAAATAATTTCCTAGAATGGTTTACTAGAAGAGTCATATTCATCTTTCATTTCCTCCCATAAATTACAGATAAAGAAGACCTGTCTTCGAATTGCCCAGGACCAACTTCTGCAGATCACGACTGAGAGATTCCCAAAAAAGTGGAACCGTGAACCATGTTACTGTCTCCTAGAAACAGACAGTTCAGCAGTTGGAATTCCTAAATTTTTTATTCCAGTAAAGAAAGAGGGCCTTTATATAATATTTTATTCTTTCTGTACTTTAAAAGTACTTTGTACAATACTTTAAATGTAATTGTTCATTGACTTGAAAAAAGAATGCACTGTTAGTTCAGAACATAAGAATCGTGGATATGTTCGATTACAGCTTTTGTCACATCGTGATGCCTGAGGGGTTTAAGGACAACACCAGGTAGCTCCTTCATTCTCCTCTTCACTTTGGAACAAGTCGAGAAATAAGACATGGCAGTCAAAGAGGAATTAAAATACCAGCTTTGCTGGCAATGAAGGTAAAATAGAGAACAAGGCTGACTTTGTCTTCAGTCAGACTCCCTAATGTCGGAGGGAACCACAGGGCCCTGCCTCATAGGGGAAGAGCCCGTCTTTGCATCTGAGACCAGTTAGCTCCCCAAGGTGGGGAACCAACCAGGGCTGGGCACACATGCTCACGTTCTTCTCCCAGTATCACCTGTCAGATAAAGACCCTTCTCTGTTTGGAAGGAAGGATTGAGGGCCCAGAGAGCTTGTTCTTTCTCCCCAAGAGCAAAGAGAAGTTTTCTTCGCATCATCTAAGCCTGAGGAGGAAGGGACAAGTATTCCCCCTCAGTAAGTCAGAGAGAATGTTCCATTAACATTACTGAATTCTAATCCGTTTTAGAGACTAATTAGGATATTTCTGGTAAAATACAAGTTTTCTTGGCCATGTGTATATTCTTTGAAAGTGGCCAGTTGTAAGTTTCTGCTATAGAAACGTAAGATTTGGGAGGAATCTTAAATGCTGTATGATCCAAATACTTTCTGAATTTGTAAACCCCATGACAACACTCCCAGCAGGTGGAAATCTCACTTCTGCCTTTGTTCTTCCAGCCCAGCGAGCTCACTGCTTTAAAACCATGCTATTACTACGTAGCTCTGGATTATTTTTCATTGTTTCTCTTTAAACGGGAATGGTTCTGAGTATAGCTCAGAGCATAATGTGTGGCACACCACCTGAGAGCTCTATCCAGGGGCAGGCATCAAAATCATGGACCTTTTAGAAGCTTGTGTGTCTCCCCTAGTAATTAGGATTCATGAGTAGAATAGTTCCTGGATATCTGTATTTATTTTGAAGTCCCAGAAATGGGGGCCAGTCTTTGGTAAAGTGGTAACTCAACAGGCCCTGCATGGAGAAGGTCCTGGGTGTATGGTACCAGGACCTTCTCGAGCACTGCACATGGCCATAATCTGGGCCAGCCAAGACTAGGGCCGGGTTGTGGTGTGAAGATCCAGTTGACGGTGCCTCTATCTGTGTTTCTCTCATAGGAGAAATAAACTTTAAAAACAAATTAATTAATTAAAATTAATTAAGGAACTGGCAAGTGGCATGGTGATTAAGGTGCTGGACTCCCACATAGCCTACTACAGTTCAAGCCCCAGACATGGCAGCTTGCCTTCTCACTTTCCCCTTCTCTCACTCTATCTTAAGTCCTTAGAATGAATCAGCTAAGCACGTGAAGATAAGAACTAGAGCTATAAGGACCAGCAGTTGGCGTAATGGTCATGTTGCTGGACTCCCATGTAGTCGATTGCAGTTTGAGTCCTGGGCCTGGTGGCTTAAACTCACACTGGGCGTGTGTGCATGCGTGCCTAAGATCCCAAGAAGAGAATGGAGGAGAAGGGATTGCGGCGTGGCCATTCCCCCTGGGGAGTGATTTCTCACTTTCTGTCTCTCTGTCTTTGTCTTTCTGGCAAGTGCAGGCACCTTATAGCAAAAACCCCTCAAAAAAAAAAAAAAAAAAAAAAACACCTAGAGCTGTAGGTCAAATACAGAGCACCACTATTCTCTTGATAGAGTTGTGAGATGATGCTGTTCTAGAGCTCATCTTCCAGTCATGTTGAGCAGGAGAGCAGCTTCTTCCTTTGTCTTCTTTTAAGTTCATTTCTTCCATGAATGAGTGAGAAGAGTACCCCCAAAGGGTCTTGATACCACAGCCTACTCCCCAGTTTCAGCCTATCCTGGGCCGTGGATATACACATGTCTGGTGGATGCTAGAGGTCTCTGGACGTGAACCCAGAATCTTCCCATGTGGGTCACAGAGTGTCATCTTTACCTCTGTGCAATCATAAATTCCCATCTTCTTCCTTCTATTTGAAATAGCATAGCAAGTGGGACCAGCAGTTGGTATAATGGCTATGTCGCTGGACTCCCATGTAGTTGACCACGGTTCAAGTCCCAGACCTGGTAACTTAAGCTCACGCCAGGCACGTGTGCGTGCATGCCCAAGATCCCAAGAGGAGAAGGGAGGAGAAGGGATTGTGGCATGGCCATTCCCCCTGGGGGGTGATTTCTAGCTTTCTGTTTCTGTCTGGCGAGCGCATGCGCCCTATAGCAAAAACCTCTCCAAAAAACAAAAACACAAAAAACAAAAAAGAAATAGCATACCAAGAAAATAGCAAAAGCAAACCTACACTTGCATAGGTTAAGAAAATCAATAGCATAATTTGTATTAATACCTGACCTAATATGACCTAATTCACTTGTGCTCAGGTTTAAATTGGGAAACTAAAGATGTATAGGCCAGCAGGTGGCAAGGAGGTTAAGGAGCTGGATCCCACATAGCCAACTGTGTGGTTCAAGTCTTGGATCCAACAGCTTGAAAAACACTCTGTGTGTGTGTGTGTGTGTGTGTGTGTGTGTGTGTGTGTGCGCGCGCGTGCGCGTGTCCAAAATCCCAAGAGGAGATCTCCCTCATGGATATTTCTCACTTATTTCTCTGTCTCTGTCTCTCTTCAGCAAGTACAAGCTCCCTATAGCAAAAAAATAAAAATAAATGAATAATAATGATAATAGAAGGTTTCCACCCCAGAGATTCTGATGTCGTTGGTCACTGAGAGTTGAGTATCAATCACTATCTACGTGAGAGCTTGAGAACCATTGATCATGTTAAATGTTGGGCGACTGTTCTTCATCTAGAAGAAGAAACATCTTTTTGAATGTAAATATATACATAATATTTCATATATAATATTTAAGTTTATGTGATACTATTTATCATACTATTATATTATTTTTGTTTAAAAAAGTAATAAAAATGTTAATAGCTAAACAAAGGGGAGTACTTTTTTTTTTTTTTTTGGAGAGGTTTTTGCTATAGGGCATGTGCGCTTGCCAGAAAGACAGACAGAGACAGACAGAAAACGAGAAATCACCCCCTAGGGGTATGGCTATGCTGCAATCCCTTCTCCATTCTCCTCTCGGGATCTTGGGCTCTCATGCACAAGCGCCCTGGGGTCGACTACATCGGAGTCCAGTGACATAGCCCTTACACCAACTGATGGTCCCCATCTTTTTTTTTTTTTTTTTTTAAGAGAAGATTTTTTTACTATAGGATGTATATACTCATTGGAGAGACAGAGAGACAGAAAGTGAGAAATCATCCCCCAGGGGAGATGGCCATGCTGCAATCCCTTCTCCATTCTCTCTCCTCTCAAGTATGTATGCACATGCACCCAGTGTGAGTTTTAAATCTCTGGGTCTGGGACTTGAATAGTGATTGACTATGTGAGAGTCTAGTGACGTAACCATCACGCCATCCAGAAGTACATCTCTTCTTAGAATGACAGTCAAATTCTTCCCTGTCACTTGGGCCAATATTCAAGTCAGTCCCAACGTTGAGGATAGTTTGAGATGGCAAGGAGTTGGACAAGAGCCGATTTCCCTTTTTCCTCTTACTGACTAGAGGGACAGCCCACCCCTCAACCCAGTGGCCTAGAATATTTTGAGTATGTTCATACCAGTTATGCTGAGAATGTAAGAATAACCTTGATAGAACCAGTGACTCCACCAGGGTTGCAGTTGACATTTACAGGCTGAACGCTAGGACTAGCTCAGTCTTAGAGAGTGGGAGACAGTTCTTGTCCATTAAAGTTAAAAACAGGCTTTAGAGGCCAGTAGGTGACATAGTGTTTAAGGTGCTGACTCCCCTGTGACCAACCACAGTTTGAGTCCTGGATGCCCCAAATCCTGAGAGTATAACGGAGAAGGGATTGCAGTATGGCCACCCCCCAGGGGGTGATTTCTTGCTTTCTGTGTCTCTTTGTCTTCAGAAAGCCCACATGCCCTATGGTAAAAATCTCTCTCTCAAAAACAAACAAAAAAATGCTTCGCAGAGGAGTAAAACTTAATTCTATGCATAACAGACCTTTTATGACTTTATAACAAGACAATATGAGGAAAGCAAAACATTGAAAATAATTTTTTAAAATTTGCCTTAAAATACTCATGTGAAATTTGAAACTTTAAAGTTTAACCTATTGTCATTTACTTTTGTATTGTGGCAAGTTTATTTTCAAATTTCTGTCTACAGTTTCTACTTTTTTTTTTTTTTATTTTTTTTAGAGATTTCTGCTATAGGATACACACACTCGCCAGAGAGACAGAAAGTGACAAATCATCCCCCAAGGGGGGTGGCCACACCACACGTAGTAAAATGGAGTTCGAGTCCCAGACCTGGTGGCTTAAAACTAATGCATCCCCAAGATCCCAAGGACAGAATGAAGGAGAAGGGATTGTGGGGTGGCAATCCCCTCTGGGGAATGATTTCTTGCTTTCTCTCTCCAGAGAGTGCATATGCCCTGTAGCAAAACTGTCTGTTAAAAAAAAAAAAAAAAACTGTAAGCCTTTATGAAAATATTTTCTCTTATTGTGCATGTTCTCACTTTTCACTTAATCTAAATTGGCTCATTTAAAAACTATTAAAAACTGTACAATGGCATTGCAGTTTTAGATTGTAGTGGGTTGCTCTAAAGTTTAAATTAACCTGTGGGGTCTTCTAAGGTACAGTCTAAGGGATCTTCCAGCCTTCCTTACAAGAGTTCAGGGCAGCAAACTGGCATACACCATGTATGCTTTCCCAAACTTGCACCGTGTCCTTTGCCTAGACCATTCAGGTCGGCTCCGGGCTCCTCTCTGCTCATCTAAATTCCTCACTCACTTGAGAGTCTCACCCAGGGGCCAGTAGGTGGCATGGTGGTCAATGGTGCTGGACTCCCACATGACCAATCGTGATTCGAGTCTCAGACCTGGTGGCTTGCTTTCTCACCTTGCTCTCTCTCTGTCCCTCTCTAGTCAAATTAAATAAGTAAATAAAGTTAAATAAAATAATTATTTTAAAAACGGATTAAAAAACAAAACAAAGTCTTACCGGAATGTCACTTCAAAGGCCTGTGCTCAGGAGACAGTGATCTCACCCCTCCTGATTATTTTCTGTTCTAAGCAATGCCTTAAGGCACAGAGTTTTGTTTTTTATTTTGTTTTTGCTATAGGGTACATGTGTTTGCCAGAGAGAGACAGAAACAGAAGGAGAGAAGGAAAGTGAGAAATCATCCCTTGGGGGGGATGGCCATACCACAGTTCCTTCTCCATTTTCTTCCCAGGATTTTGGGCGTGCACACACCTGTGCCTGGTGTGATTTTCAAGCTCTGTCCGGGACTTGCACTGTGGACTCAGCTATATGGGATCTAGTACTTTAACCTCCATGCTACTTGCTGACCCCAAAGTTATCATTTAAAAGAAAAAAATTATTTGCCCATTTATTTGTTGTGATTTTCAAGGCACCAGTTCCAGGTCTTGAACCACAATGATGGGCCATGTGGGAATCCAGCACCCTAACCACCATGCCACCCACTGGTCCCACAGTTACCTTTTTAAAAAGTGTTTTTTATATTATAATGGATACAAAATGTATTTAAGATAAAAATGCACAGCAAACACTAGTGGACTCAACATCCAGTTTAAGAAAAAAGTTACTGTTGCCTTCAAAGTCCACTTCCTCAATCACATCATCTCCCTCCCTTCTTAGCGATCACACTCTGCAAAATTTAACATTTCTCATTCTTTCTTAGTCCGTTACTGCACTGCTAACAGAAACACATGAGCCTGGGTGATTTTTGTCAAGACAGAAGTTTATTTATAAACACAATTCTGGTGGCTGGAAAGACCAGACTTAGGTGGGCATGTACAGACAGGGGATTTTTCTTTCTTTTTTTTTTTTTTCTTTTCTTTTTTTTTTTATTGCAACCATCTCTTAGGAGACCCAATTTCTCATGAGATCTAAAACTCACTGGATCTTGAAAGACATCATTAATCTATTTACAAAATGTTGCCTTCACATTGCAATCGCCATGAACTAATCACAGACCGCTAAGCATCATCCCTCATGACATCAAATTCCGAAACATGAAACTGGGTACAAAAACCACAATCCAGACCATAACATAACATCTTGCTTCATTTCATTGCTTCACCACATTTGTTTGGACATTTTTTTTTTTTTAGGCTTTTGCTTACAGTGTGCTTCTTGCCAGATATTGAGACAGAGACAGTGAGAGGAACAGTGAGAAATCACTCCTCAGTAGGATGTCCACACTGCAGTCCCTTCTCCTCCATTCTCCTGCGATCCTGGGCACACACATGTATGTGCCCGGTGTGAGTTTCAAGCCACACAGTCCAGGACTCAAACAGCAGTCTGCCACGTAGTAGCCCAGCGGCATAACCATTTTACCATTAGCTGGCCCGTTATTTGGATTCTTAAACGAAATGGTGATTCAGTTTCTCCTATTCCAAAACTTCATATAAATAGAATCATTCTGTATGTTTTCTGAAATTTCCTTTGTTTACTTAACATGATGTTCTTGAGAGATGGATTGTGTTGTTACTGCATTTAGCTGTAAGTCATTCATTTTTAATACTTTATAGTACTCCAGTGTATGAATATAATTTCTTATCTAGTCACCTTTAAATGGGTGACTACAAACAACCACCTTTCTGGTTGTTTCCTGTTCTTTTGGTATTATAAACAGGGTTTTTATGAACATCTACAAACATTCTCGTAGGCATGTATGTAGGAATGGAGTTGAAGGCTTTGCAGTAGCCGACTCCCCTAGTCAATGCACAGTTCTTTTCCAAAGTGACTGTTGGAACACTTCTCATTTTATGAGTGCCATATTTCTCCAACTGGCTCCTAATCCTTTTAAGTCAGGAAAATACTTCATATATTTTGGCCTAGAGACAGTAGACATTAAATAAATGTGTATTAATTGATTCACTAATTACCATAAAGAAGAAAATCTGAGGGCTCTTTCCATCTTCAGAATAAAGCAATAAACCGAGAAAAGTCAAATGTAAGAATGTTTTTGTAATGAAAACTTTTCTGAAAATGTAAAATTAAAAATGAAGGGAAAATAAAAAGTAAATACTTATCGATATTCCTATAGCATATTTTAGATAACTAAAGGAAAATCTCAAATCAGAAACAAGATACTTTTCAGAAAGGCCCTAACACGTGTTTCGTTTCCTTATATCTGAGGCATTCTTCCACTCCGTCAAGGTATTCAGTATTTCAGCTGTGTTAGGTCGTTCCTTGGGTTCCTTTGAGAGTAGTTTCTTCAGAAGAGTTTTCTGTAATGACAGTAAGAGTCAATACTAAGACATACAACACTGAATAAATAAAATTCTGATTATTTTCAAGTGCTTACTTCTTTGTCAGTGAACACAGTTGAGAAGATCCCGCTCTTTAGCTCATCAGACATCTGAAAATAAAATAATAAGGAAATTATTTACTTGGAAAGAAAAACAAACTTAGAAAGCACTAATGGCTGAGGGTACCCTAAATTGAAGATATTTCCAGCTCTTTGGGCAGGTCCTTTTAGCCAAGAAGCAAGTAATACTTCCCACCCCCAGACTCCCCATACACCAACTGCAATGTCATAGACATCCTTGACATTAAAATGTAACATGTTAAGTGCATCATGTTCGTTATATCCCTTCATCCTTTCTGGAACCCTATGCAATAAATATTTTCTGTTTTAGATAAGAGAAGTCTATTGACTCTGGGTAGGTCCCCTTTCCTGAGCTTCAGACTACAACATCCAGTCGCCTCTTGTCTTTAGTGGCTCCCAATGACAGCACTAGAAAGTCCATATGCTTTCCTCAGTTTAACCCTAACCTGGCTTTCTGGCCCCATCAACCCACCACTTCCTTGTAATGTACATAAGCCAATAAACTACACTGCCAGCCGGTCTCAGATACACTTTGCTCATTTCTGTTTCCATTCTGGAATTGTCTTCTTTCTATTAATATTTTGGACTCTCCGAAGCCAATGATCCTTTAGAACCCAGCTTACATGCCTCCATGAAGCCTAAGTCTCTACAACAGGAAAGATCTCTCTCCTAGCTGCTTCCACAGACTTCATGCTTCCTCCTAAACCACAGCATACTCTTACATTAGTTTTTTTAAAAAAATTAAGCTCCATGAAAACAAGACATGTTCAATTTTATAATTCCTTTAGAACCCAGCTTACATGCCTCCATGAAGCCTAAGTCTCTACAACAGGAAAGATCTCTCTCCTAGCTGCTTCCACAGACTTCATGCTTCCTCCTAAACCACAGCATACTCTTACATTAGCTTTTTAAAAAAATTAAGCTCCATGAAAGCAAGACATGTTCAGTTTTATAATCCTTGTAGCACTCAACATAATGCCTTATGCCAAGTAGGCAATCGATAAAATGTAACTGACCCAAACAGGAGTCTTATGAGATGTACAAGCTTTCCAAACAAGATCCAAGTGTTTTGGTCCCTAATAAAGTGGTTGCCAAAACTTGAAAGGAGAAAACTTGTATTTCATTTGCAGTCAGACACTCATATTTTCAAACCCAACCTCACACAAGGGTAATGACTGCCTACAGCAGCACTGTGAAGATGACAGCCGATGATTTTTGTGGCTTAATTATTTATTTGAGATGACTTACCTTGACCATTTCCATGTCAGTGGGAGGTATATAAAGTAGCATAGCAAGAATTATTCCCAGAGCATAAATGTCCACTTCCTCTCCATAGTCTAGCGAAGAAATCTGAAGAGACCAAAAATATATTTACTTCTGTTACTTGTCTGATAAATAGCCATGTCTTGTGAAGCCAAAACAGTTCCAAAATACCTTATATCATATGACCAAGTTTATTAGCAGGATCTATGAAGTCTAACTGCCCAGGTCCAACTCTCAAAATGAAAAGCTGAATCGCTTCTGTAAATTGACCATCAACCTGAGAAGGATCTCAACTATAATTTTTTGTCCACATTTATAATTCGTCACACTGGCCCAAACTGAAGGCAGATAGTAACCCAGTTTGAGTGTGAAAGAGCAGAATTCTCAAACACTTTTGTGCAACAGCATTATTAGAATCACATTTTTTGAATAACAATATGACAACAATTTATCAAATAAAAAGTGTCATTCAATTCAATAATTTCATTTCAAGAAATTGATCATAGGTTATCATAGAAATATTTGTTTATGAACCCCCCAAAAAAGGAGGAAAAAATGTATGTAAATGCATAAAGTTGAATACAACCTAATGTCCTTCAATAAGGAAATAATGAAATAAATTGTAGTATCTATACTTTGGAATACAATCTAGTTGTTAAAAAGAATGTGGCAGGGGCCAGCAAGTGGTGTGGTTGTTGAGGTGCTGGACTCCATGTGGCTGACCATGGTTTGAGTCCCAGACCTGGCAGTTGCTTTCTCATTTTCCCTCTCAGTCTCTGGTGAGCATACGTGCCCTACAGCAAACTAAATAATAATAATAATAATAAATAAAATTAAATAAATCATTCTTTTTTAAAAAGAATGGGGCAGACCTAATTATAAATATGAAAAGTAGATGTATGAAAAGATTATGATACAATATTGAGTGAAAAAAATCATCACAAAATAAATCATAGTATCCTTGTAAAACAGTGTATGAATGTATATTTACAAAAACATATTGTCTCATGCATATTTGGTATTTGTGTTTGTATTTTTTTATCACTCACAGAAAATTATCTAAGAAGGAACAAACTCTAGTGAAGGAACAAACTCTAGTGAAAATAGTAGGAACAGAAAGGAAGGTTAAGGGAAATGTTCAGTTCTTAGTCTATATATTTCTGTACTGTTTTAATTTTAAAGAAGTGTCTCCCAAGGGGCAGCAGGTGGCATGGTGGTTAAAGGTGCTGGACTCCCACATGGCCGACCATGGCTTAGTCCCAGACCTGGTAGCTTGCTTTCTCACTTTCCCGCTCTCTTTCTCTGTCTCTCTCTGATCCAACTAGAAAATAATAATAATAAATAAAGTTAAATAAAATAATTCTTTAAAAAAGTATCTCCCATTTTTATAATTAAAAAATTAAAGAAGTAAAATATATTTAGACAAGCAAGAAAGAGGCCTTACCTGTTCTGGGCTCATGAATAGTTTTGTTCCCCTGTTACTCGTTCGCTTCTCTTCATTTTTCAGGGATGTTACAAGTCCAAAATCTCCAATCTTTATATGTGTTTCATTTACTAAAAATATGTTACTTGGCTATGGAAAAAAATGAATTTATATGTACCAATTTGACAGACTATCACATGTCTAAGTCATATCCGGCAATGGCTATTTTTATAGTTACTTATAAGACATTTATCCTTACACAGGTAGTCCAAATCGGGGAATTTAATGTCATAGATCTTTACAAAGCCAGCTGAAGAGGGTTAGAACTTTTACACTAACAGCAGAGGCAGCTTGAGGTATGGTTGGTTGCCTTCAGTATCTAAAGATCTGTCGAATGAAAAGGGTTGATGCACTCTCTGTGTGGTCATGGAGACTAGAGAAGGGTAATTAAAAGATCTGCTTTGAGACCAGCAGATGGCGTAATGGTTAAGTCACTGGACTTCCATGTAGTCAACTGAGGCTCGAGTCCCAGACACAGTGGCTTAAAACTCACACCAAGGGACCAGCAGTTGGCGTAATGCTATGTCGCTGGACTCCCATATAGTCAACCACGGTTCAAGTCCAGGACCTGGTGGCTTAAAATTATACCAGGTGCATGTGCATGTGTGCCCAAGATCCCAAGAGGAGAATGGAGAAGAAGGGATTATGGCGTGGCCATCCCCCCTAGGGGGTGATTTCTCACTTTCTTCTCTCTGTCTTTCTCTGTCTTTCTGGTGAGTGCATGTACCCTATAGCAAAAACCTCTCAAAAAACAAATCAAAAACAAACAAACAAAAAAACTCACGCCAGGCACACATGCGTGAGTGCCCAAAATCCCAATAGCAGAATGGAGGAGAAGGGATTGCAGCCTGGCCATTCTTCCTGAGGTGGTGGTTTCTCACTTTCTGTCTCTTTGTCTTTCTCTGTCTCTCTGGTGTTGTGCCATATGTCAAAAACCTCTCTAAAAAATAAAATAAAATAAAAAATGGTCTGCTTTAAGGGCAAATGGTGTAGTGGTTATGTTGCTGGATTCCCACATGGCCCACCACGGTCTGTGTCCTGGACCTGGTAGCTTGAAAATCATGCCAGTCATGCATACACGCATGCTCAAGATCCCAGGGGAAGGGATTGTGGCATGGTCATTCCCCCAGAGGGTGATTTCTCACTTTCTCTCTCACTGTTTCTGTCTCTCCCTCTCTCTGGTGAGCACACATGCACTATGGCAAAAAAATTCTTTTTTCTTTTTTTTTTTTTCATTCTTTCTTTCTTTCAAAAACCTCTTTTAAAAAAATGTGTTTTAATGTAATCCAATGTACTAACAGTCTGGTCCAAGAATGGGAGTTGGAGAGTTTTCCATCCCAGAATAGGGTTGGCCTTCTTCTTGAGAAAATGTTGCAGATATAAATCCAGGATCTAATGAGGACTGAAGTAGACATCTTTAAGATCCCCTCCAATTTTGAGATTCTCTGAATAAGTCCAGTCCCAACGACAGAATATCCTGTGTAGAATTTCTCCTAGGATTTTCTTTAGGTCAATTTTCTAGGCCTTTGAAAGTTCTTAATAAGCGAACACCTTCCACCTTAAAAGCATACCAAGTTAACTGGAAGCTGCTAACTTGTGCTGAAATAGTTTTTCCCATACAATTCTTTAAGCAAATTATTTAAAAAGAAAAAAAAGGAAGAAATAACAGAACGAGGAGTGGCCATCCTTATTCCACAGCTTTGTAGAAGGGATTGGCTTACATTCTAAAGACTGAAAACATGGAAGTTGTTTGTGAGGAAATTAACATTGTGCTATGCTCAAAATGGCTAGACTTTCCGTATGACTTGGACTACACACAGAGACCTCATGAGGGCCATGTAAAAGAACTGAGAGGAAAGAGACCATAACCCCAAGGATGGCTGAAAGAAGAGCTTTAGAGAAGCCAGCCTCAGAAGGACCATGTGAAAATGAGCAGTTTTAGATGAGAATTCACTTAGTGCTGGTGCTGTAGTGTAGCAGTTAAGTCCTGTCTATAAGAAGCCAGATCTCACACGGCCAACTGTGGTTCAAATCCTGGCCCCCATGACTTGAAAAACACACTGTGCATGCACACGCTCATGATCCTGGTGGAATTGAGCAAAAAGGATTGGATTGTGATAAAGCCCTATTGGGAGTGTGTGTACCCTCTGGCAGTAAAATAAATAAATAAATAAATAGACAGGAGTCTAATGCCAATCATACAGAGGGAAGGCTGTGTGTGAGGTGAGTATGGAGAAAAAAATGTTCCTACACTGCACAGTCAATTCACAATGTAGGGATATGTTGAGTTTGTTAATAAAACTGCTAGTCACATATAAGTTTATAACCTGACTGAAAAACAAGAGGTTAAATTTATAACACTGTCTAAATATGTAAGCTGGATCAGATTATCTAGTAAAAATATCAGATTATGGGGCTAGCAGGTGATATGGTGGTTAAGGCACTAGACTCCCACATGGCTGACTATGGTTACAGTCCCGGGCCTGGTCCCACATGGCTGACTATGGTTAGAGTCCCGGGCCTGGTACTTTCTCACTTTCCCTCTCTCTCTCTCTCTCTCTGTGTTTCTCTCTGGTCAAATTCTAAAAAGATGATAATAATGAATAGAATTATATAAAATAATTATTTTAAAAATCAGATTACTTTTTATAGTTCATTAAAAAGAAAATGGGGACCATGAGCTGACATTGGTTAAGGTACTGGACTCTTACATGGCCGACTGTGGTTTGAGTTCCAGATATAGTGACTTGCTTTCCCACTTTCCTTCTCTCTCTCTACCTCTCCCTGGTAAGTGCATGTGCCCTGTAGCAAATAAGTAAAATAAAAATAATGATAAATAAAATTAAACAAATAATTTAAAAAAAGAAAATTTTAAAAAAAGCCACATTTGATCTAATCAGTGATATGACAATTAGACAAAATACAGGACTGTATGAAAAATGGATGCAAACTATAGGAGGCTTAGGATCCAGGACTGGAGCTCAGGTCCAGCCTGACCCAGAGCCCGAGCCTATTATGAGAGAACCCTCTGCAGAGTCGCAGCCTCACATAGCAAGACCTCACTCTGGAAACCCCTATGTCCTTCATCAGAACCTTGGTCTAGTTGTTTTTCTGTGTGATTTTTCTATAGGGCACATGTGCTCGCCAAGAGAAAAACAGAGGAAGCTAGAGAAAGGGAAAGCAAGAAATCATCCCTCAGGAGGAATGGCCATACCACAATCCCTTCTCCTTAAGTCGCCTCTTGGGATTCTAGGTACATGTGCATGCTCTCCTGATGTAATTTTCAGGTCATGTCTGGGACTAGAACCACAGAGTAGGCCATGTGGGACCCCAGTTGCTTTAATCTCCTTGCCACCGTTTTTAAATATCTCCAAGTTCTTTTTTTTTTTGGAGAGGTTTTCGCTACAGGGTGCGTGTGCTCGCCAGACAGACAGAGAGAGACAGAGACAGAAAGCAAAGAATCACTTCACTCCCTAGGGGGGATGGTCACGCTGCAATCCTTTCTCCTCCATTCTCCTCTCGGGATCTTGGGCACGCGCGCACACGTGCCCGGCATGAGTTTTAAGCCACCGGGTCCAGGACCCGAACCGTGGTTGACTATGTGGGAGTCCAGCGACATAGCCATTACGCTAACTGCTGGTTCCCAATACCTCCAAGTTCTTAAATACTTGGAGACATTATATAGACAGGCTTTTCTTTTCTTTTTAAAATTTTGCTAGAAAGGGGATCAGCAGTTAGTGATCCCCTCCAAGATCCCGAGAGGAGAATGGAAGAGAAGGGATTGCGGCGTGGCCATCCCTCCCGGGGGGTGATTTCTCACTTTCTGTCCCTGTTTCTGTCTTTCTGGTGAGTGCACATGCCCTCTAGCAAAAAACTCTCAAAAACATTTTTTTTTGCTAGAGGGCATGTTCTCGAGCAGGAGACAGAGACAGACAGAGAAAAGTTGGAAATATTCCTCCTGGAGAATGGTTACGTTGTAATCCTTCTCTACTGTTTCTCCCTCCTTTCAAAATTCTGGGCATGTATGGACACGCGCCCAGCGAGTCTTTCAAGCCGTTGGGTCTGGGACTTGAACTGCACAGTCAGCCATGTGGGAATCCAGCCTCCTCAACCAACATGTCACCAGCTGGCCCTACAAGGGCTTTATTGAGAAAAGGCCATTCTCTGTCAAAGCACGTGCAACTGGTATTTTTCTAAGCAAAAAAGTTTGCATCTTCATTTGCATCTTATCTCAGATATCAGAGAGCAGCCACTATAGCAATGAGAGCTAGCTAGCAAAGTTGCAGCAGATGACAAAGGCTCAATATTAAAGTCTGACATTTGAGCAACTGCAGCCAGAGCAAAGTTCTTGCAAACAGACACAAGAAAAGATCATTCCATGACACGGGGCACCAGCAGTGTGGGCGTCAGGAGAGCTGGCAGATGAGTAGATACCAGCCGGAAGTTCACTAATTCATTCTGGGGAGAGCCTGGAAGTAATACCCAAACTTCTACATTTATTTGCAAATTACTATTAATTTATATGTACACATGGATAAATTTGTATCATATATACACACACATATATATTATATATATACATATATATGTTTATATATAATTATGCTTAATATCTTATTAACAACTATATGTATGACTTATTCTGAAGTGAACCTTTAGCTACTCTAAAATGTAAACATAGTTCTGTTAATGTGTCAACGATTTTTTCTGTTAAAGGGATTCTTGCTATAGGGTACATGCTGTCACCAGAGACAGAGATAGAAAGTGAAAAACCACTCCCCAAGTGGGATGGCCATGCTACAATCCCTTCTCCTCCATTCTCCTCTTGAGATTTTGGGCATGAATGCACACATGCCCGGTGTGTTTCAAGCCACCGGGTCTGGGATTTGAACTGTGGTCAGCCATGTGGGAGTCCAGCAATGTGACTATTATCCTATCTGTTGGTCTCAATAAGGTTCCAACTTCTAAGAACTCCTTCAGTGGCCAGCCCTACAGCCAGCCTAGTAGTTAAGGGAGTTGGATCCCACATGGCTGACCGTGGTTTAAATCCTGGCCCTAGAGGCTTAGCAAACGTTGTGCACACATGTACACAGCTGCCCCAGATCCTGACAGGATGGAGAAATGAGGGAGAAGGAGTAGCAGTATGACCGTGACCATTGGGTGCTGCTTTCTCCCTCTCTCTCTCACTGTCCGTCTCTCCTTTCTGGTGAGCACACATGCTCTTTGGCAATTAAAAACAAAGACCTTCAGATAGTCAAGATTCTTTTAAAATTAATGGAAAATGGTTATTATGAAAAAAATTATGCATGGAATTCAACCTTTTTCTGCACCAAAATAAACTTGTAATTTCATTGCATTTCACACTAACTTTAACTTGTATGGTTAAAGAGAAATGGTGCAACCCGGTGGACTCAGACATCAAGGTTATCAGACATCTAGTCCCTGGGTAGACCAAGGAAGCAGAGGGTCTGCTTTTTCCTAGCTAGGGCCAACACATAAATATATACACGGGTGCTTATTTTTCTCAGCATTTTTTTTTTTTTTGCTTCATTACTAGTTCCTGGCTGTTTTACACACACAAGGTAAGCAGATAGCCAAGATTCACATAGATACTAGGTGCTTTTGTTTAGCACAGAAAAAGGCAGATCCGGAGTAGTAAAGAAAGGCTAAATAAAGGAACTGGGATTAAAGGGGACACACCGAAGAATGTTCCATGAGAGAAAAACCTGAGCAAAGTTTCAGGGATAAGATTCAGTTTGGTTAGTATGTGAGGGGAGTGAACAAATCACAGAAAATACAGAGTTTGGAGGAAAGGCCGTGAAATGCTGTTTTGTCTCTCTTCTTTCACTTTGATGAACAGGAAGAATGGGAAAACTGCTTCTCCAGACCATAAAAGCCAGAAGAAAATGAAAATACTAAAGGATGATACATGCCTCAGATTGCGGATTACCAGAATTTTCCAGTCATAGGGATGAGTGGCTAACCATGAAAATACTGGACTCGGGACCCAGAGGTTGTGACTGCCCTCCCAAGTACCGAGTTCCCAGGGCCACAGTCACCAGAGTCTGTTCTGCCTCTTACATGAGCCTGAGCAGTGGCAAGGGCAGTGTGGCCAGCCGGCCGTGCCAGCCACGATGATTTGCTTGGAAACATCAATACACGGAAAGTACTGCTGTCTACAGCTGGGGTGGGACTATCAGCTGGTAGGACCAGAAATGAATGAGCCTTCCTGTGGGAGACAAGCCCTGGATAACTTTTTAAAAATTTATTTACCTTTGGGGCCAGCAGGTGGCATGGTGGTGAAGGGTGCTGAACTCCCACATGGCGGTTCAAGTCCCAGACCTGGTGGCTTGCTTTCTCTCTCTCTCTCTCTCACTCTATCCCTCTCTGGTCAAATTGAAATAAATGTATGAATGAATAAATAACGTTACATAAAATAATTTAAAAAAATTTTTTACATTTAATCACATCTTTACAGTGTACAACATTTCTTTTTCCAGTACAAATATGATGCGTATCTGTCAAGACAAAGGTATTACTATATACATTATCATCAACAAATAGCTTGCCCTGGGTAACTTCTGTGTAGTTGTTTGGAATGGTATTTGGGGCATGTTTTAAAGCCAGTGTAACCTTAGAGAGTTATTATTGCATCTTTACAATCAATCAATCACAATTCTAAAACTAGGAGATAGATTTTTAAATTACTACATTATATTCATCAATGAGCTAGCAAAATACATTCCCTACTTACCTTAAGGTCTCTATGAATCAATCGTTGTGAATGTATGTAATCCACTCCTGTTGTTATCTGTTTAAAGAATTCCAAAGCTAAAGCTTTGTCTGATCTTGGAACCCTGGTTTTAATCCATTGGTCCAACGTCCCTTTATCGCAGAATTCCATTTGGATGAAAAGGCACTTAGTTTTTAGACTAGATATAAAATTCAAAGTACATTAAAAATGTTAATAAAAATAAATTATTATTATTATTATTATTATTATTATTATTGCTATAGGGCGCGTGCGCTCGCCAGACAGACAGAAAGAGACAGAGAGACAGAAAGCGAGAAATCACCCCCCAGGGCGGATGGCCACACCACAATCTCTTCTCCTCCATTCTCCTCTTGGGATCTTGGGTATGTACACCCACGCGCCCAGTGTGAGTTTTAAGCCACCGGGTCCGGAACTCGAACCGTGGTCGACTACATGGGAGTCCAGCAACATAGCCATTATGCTAACTGCTAGTCCCTTGAAACTTTTTTTTTTAAAAATACACCTTCTCTTAAGAATCCCAGCACAGAAATCTAAATATAATACATTCGAATAGAACAGAATACCATTTTTATTTAAACCCTAAGTCCCCAAATGTCCAGAGCTTTATTTGCTTAGTTAATTTATGAAGTATGAGGCTTCCCATTCTTTAATAAGGGAGAGCTTTGGTCACTTTTTCTACTAGTTAGAAACAGGAGCAATAATACAATGGAATTACAGAAAATCAAATTTCATTATACAAGTAGTTTTGGAACACTTAAATTCATCATTGATCTACTGAGTATCAATTTTGTGAAAGGCATGCAACAATCACTTAGAGATGAGAGAATGAGGTAGACTCTCCCTGTCATCATAGAGATTATAGTTAATACGAAGGAGGTCAAGGAAAACCAAACTGAAAACACCACAAGGCTAGGTGCCCTTGGGGCCAGCAGGTGGTGTGGTAAAGAGCGCTGGACTCCTACATGGCTGACTATGCTTAGAGTCCTGGACCTGACGGATTGTTTTCCCGCTTTCTCTCCCTTTCTTTCTCTCACTCTGTCCCTCTCTGGTCAAATTAAAATTAATTAATTAATTAATTAAATAATTTAAAAAATTGTTTAAAAAAAAGATAGGTACCCTAAGAGAAGTACCCACAAATTGCTATGAGGTATGTAGAAGGACTGATTTTGCTAACCACATTTTATATGTTTTTCTGAGCTAAGTTGATCTCGCTATTAATTCATATTCCTTGAACATATGATGGTGAGAAAATATGAAGAAGTAACCAAGAACTTGCTAAAAACTGAAGAAGTCCTAAACGCTGATGGTTATTAACTCCTGAATCTGATGATAAAATCTCAATTACATGGGGTGGGGAAAGGCCCAGAGGCAGGAGGTGATAAATTCTGTGGCTTCAGGATGGCAGTGAGAGGACTGTCTTTGTCAAAGGCAGATGCCAGCTCTAGTTCTTCAGCATGGTATTTGGGTAAGTCCTAGATTCATTCTATTAATATCCTCAGAGAGCTACTATTTCATCACAACTATCAATTACAACTCCTTACAACTCCAAAACCAAATTTTATATAT